TGTGTCTGTCTGCGTACGCGTGCGTTTGAGAAGGAAACCATGCTTGGGTTCCACTTCCACTGTTGACGAATTACGCCACTTTTCACGGATCTCGTGTAGTAAAACTGTGGGGAGGCTGCGATGCAGCTGAAACAAAAAAGGCAACAAATCGGAGAACTGCAAGAGAAGGAAGTATCCTTCTCAAGATTTTGTGTTTTGTCTTTTTTTCTTTTTCATGATTATCGAATATAACTTTTCATTTACTTGAATGTGTTTTATTTTATCTTTCTGGTAAACTAAGCCGGGTTATTTGTTAGGTCGAATTTGAGACTTATATAAGATGGTTGGTGGCAAGATTGTCGCGTATAGTTATCAACGAGCGTTCGTGCATCGTAACGCGACGTGTTGATTGCCAAGTGCATCTGATTTTGAATCGAGAGTTAGTCGTCGTAAGCTCTTCGCAAGGGTTCTTGAAAGAAGCGAAAAGGGAGGATCGGTTTTGCATGGAAGGCTCGTAAGATTGGGAGGACTAATTACATCCCAAAAGATAAAATCAAAGAAAATGAAACCACGACAAAATACTAATCTTGCACATTTTTATGTTTATGCAAAGTGAAAGAAGTACGTGGATTCCTTTTACTCGTTGGAACACTATTGGTGTTCCATTAAATACGAGGTTTTTGTGTACGACTAACCCCTCTTTGTAAGTGGTGCGTTAAAAAGTTAATATACATCTTATCTTATCAAAAAAAAAAAAGAAGTACGTGGATCCGTCTATTTAATTATTTGACGGACAGTTCCATCAGGAGTCTTAAAACTGAGCTAATAGAGCATTTCAAATCTAAAGCTAGCTAATAGAGCATTTCAAATCTAAAGCTATTATTTCATTCATTCGGGCATTGAAATTTTGCACAAAAATATGCCACAATAGTTTTTCTTGAATTAAAATCCTAGATCGTTGTTTAAGAAACTGTGACGAAAAAATAATCTTGCACATTCTTATGTTTATGCAAAGTGGAAGAAGTACATAAGTTGGTCTGCTTATATATATATAAAACGAACTATTCCATTAGGGGTCCTAAAACTTAAGCTAATGGAGCATTTCAAATCTAAAGCTATTATTTCTTTCACTCGAGCATTAAAATATAGAGTGCAGTATTTCTAGAACGTGGACATATTCTTCTATGAATAATGTTTTAAAACAAACTTCAATGGCCATTTGGGAATAAACAAGCCCAATGCAAGCGCAAACCCTAAAATGTCAAAACCAGATCTGGCTTGGGCCTGCTCTGCTCTATGCAGGGCCTAGACTCAGTTACTTACATTTAAGGAAGGTCACTTATGAAACTTCATTTTTGTTTCTTGTTTTGGGATGACAACCTTAAAAAGGGCCAAGAATTATCGTACCATGTTAAATTTGGTACCATTACTTTACAAACGGTTTTTTTTAATAAAAATTTCATTTGAGTTTCTCGAGTGACTTGGCGAGCCGGAGGACCCCACGTGGCAATCTTTTTAAAATAAAATTATCCGACATGACATTTTCGGGGAATTGATTTCATAAATTAGAAGTTTCAAACTATCCATGGACCAACAACATTTGCAGCACAAGAGCTTCACCTTAACAATTAAGTAACTTCATATCCACTTCAGCAAAAAAATAGCATTTCAAGCGCAAAAGAAAACCTGGCCCTAAAAATATTTACTAGATGACATTGTTCAGGGTATAAACTTTCTCCAAATTGAGAAATTGGGACGAATTCATTAAAAGGTTTAAAGAGAAAATGGCGTAACGAATAGATGAATAAAATCGAGAAAACAGAGCAAAGAGAGGCTTTAAGGCAATTCCTCCACTGCCTTTATGTCCTCGGGCATAAAGTTGAATAGAATATAATAAATATTAAAACCATAATCTAATATATCATTGTCGAATTGTGTATAACCAATTGTGGTTGCGCCAAGTGGCGTAACACACGCGTGAGTAAGCCTTGACGTGGCGGCATCCGCCAATAATGACTTGCCATTTGTACCGTTGGTTACATCTGAAGACGGACGTGTAAGATATGTTAGCTCCTCTTATTCACTATTGTTTATTTTAGAATTTAAATTGGGTACAAATGATAGGGTACATCATTGATTGAGCAAAGTGTGCACTATAAGTTTGGTATTCCTTTCGGAACTAAAGAAATAATTTATCTTATTTTAACAAGGTAATTTAGATACATTCAATAAAACGAACTCTCGAAAAATGACAATATGAAAGAAAAAAACAAAAATCAATATTTAAGTATGTCTTTAGTTAATAAGGAGCAAAATGGGATTGGGCTAGAGACTGTGATATAGCATAAATTAAGGCTAGGGCTAGACTTTAGCTTGGTAATGAATTGAGCCCTAATTCCTCAATGACATCTTCATGCCCTCACCTACGTTGTCAAAGTCAATGGTGGTTAACGGTTGGGAAAAGCCTTTGTGCTCCAATTATTGGTGAATAGACAGTTTGAAATTGCAGAGACTTGTGTTCTTCTGTATTTCTATTAATAAATAGCAGAAGTTCCAAAAAAATCTAAAGTCGATCAATGTAATACAGCCCATATTTAGATGCTTTAATGATTTTAATTCGAACCCGTTATACCATTCTGTTTCTATAGTAGATGAAATGAAAAAAAAAACAATAAAAAAAGTTTCTTTCGTAGTCTTACATCCAACTTGAATGAAAATAATATAGTTACTATTGTGTATAATGCAATGAAATTTACTTTGTTTATGTTACAAATCATGACGGATTTATATATAGTTTGACACATTTTCCTCTATCATATAATTGTTCTTTCTAGTTCTACAATATAATATTTAATATCAAAATAAGATGTTTATAATTTGATTCAAGTCTTTTAAAATATATCTCAAATTCTTTACTTTCATTTATCAAAATGTAGACTTTTGTTTGCATAAGAAAGGCTCCTCTCGATAAAGTCAAATGCATTAAACGTGCTAAAGCCTCATTTACTACTTATGGTGCGTTTGGTAACAGGCCAAATAGTAACTGATTCTATTCTTTTATTTCAGGGAATAAAAAAAGAACAGAAATCCGTTTGGTAAATTTTTTATTCCCGGGCACAAATTTGCACAAATTTATTATCGGAATCAGTTTTGGAATAGAATCAATAAGCAAAAAAAAGTTACTTTTTGATTATGGGAACAAGAATTATAAATGGAAAAGAAATTTTTTTTTCCTCCTCCTTCTTCTTCGTTTTCTTCCTGGCTTGTGGCCGGTCATCGGCTATCGGCCACCGGCAAGGGTGTTGCGGCCCTCGCTAGATCTGGCGTGGGCGACCCTTGCCGCCGCTCTCACCAGATCCGGCGAGAGCGGCTCGTGGCTTGGGCGAGGGTCACCCTTGCCGGATCCGGTGAGGGCTAGTCGCCCTCGCCGAATCTGGTGCGGGTTGCGACTCCCTCGCTGGCCCTTGCTTGTGGCTGGTCGTCGGTGTCGGCGACCTAGCCGTGGGCTAAGGAAGCGGAAGAAGAAGAAAAAAAAATGAAAAATAAAAAAAAAGAAATATTAAAAATTCAAAATATTATTAATAAAAAGAAATTTTGTGCAGTTACCAGATCCATTTATGTTCTTTTTCTAGTCTAAGAATAGAAATCTTGGGCAGTTACCAAACGCCTTCAAATGGTTAGAAATTGTTTCCGGGAATGGAATAAAAAAGAATCATTTCTGAGCAGAAATTATATTCGAGAACAGAATGGTTACCAAACGCACCCTTACCAAACTTTCAAAAACTTTCAAAGTTGTATTTGGAAAATGCTTAATACCACGAAAAACCTTAAACTGGTACACCTGTGACAAATTTGCCCCAAACTAATATTTTGATCACTAAAAACCCAAAACGGGTACATTTGTGACAAATTTACCTTCCGTTAGTTTCTGTTAAATTGAATTAATATAAAAAAAAATCACGAAGTAGTACACCGGTGACAAATGAAGGGTAAAATATAAAAAATGGTATATCAGTTAACTGTCGCGTGTCATTTAACAAAGTAATTTAGCAATAAAATTTAACGGAAACAAATTGAGGGTAAATTTATCACAAATATACCAGTTTGGGGTTTTTAGTGGTTAAAAATTAGTTTAAGGTAAAATTATTATAGGTGTACTAATTTAGGGTTTTTCGTGATATTAGCTCTTTGGAAAAAGGAACTCTATGCTCGTTAAAGTGACTGCATTAAATGTCTGAGTCTATTTTAGTACAATATATTAGATAGATTATAGATGCCTCTCCAAGATACAGGATAAATGCTTGAGGACAAAGAATTCCTGTCATTATATATCAACTTAGTTTAATTTCTTTCCTATGCGTCAGTGGAGACATGCCCATCTTTTGCTTTCTGTTTTTGTAGTTTGCTATTGTCGAGGTTCGAACGGCGGTCACATCCCCATCCACAGGGGCATAGTCGTGTTGACTCGAGCTGATATAGTGCCAAACTCGAGAGAGCTTGTCTAGACAAGTATTGGCAAAAGCTTAAACTAGACTCGACGTCAAATGAGTTGATCTTGAGTAATTACCGAGTCGAGCCTGGGATACTCGTATATAGCTTGACTCGTTAGGGGTGAAGTGGGACAACCCGGTCTTGTTAATTTTGTGTTATTTCTCAAACCCGGCCCAAATCCATTATGGCTTTTGATGTGAAGTCCCAAACTCGTCTCAATAAAATAAACGAGTATCCGTGACTCATCATAATACTATTTGAACGAACAAATATCTTACGTTAAAAGCATAACATAACAAACCACATCAAGATCGAAAAAAATTTAAAACCTAATGATCCTCAAATGAGCAGCCATGCTTGAAATTTTGTTACGGTTTGACAAATTTATATCAGCAATATTACTCTTATTTTTAACTTGTGTATCCACAAAAGGGCTTTTCTTCGGTCCGCAGAAGGATCTGCACATAGTCCTCGTCATACCGCACTCACCTCGCCTGTGTTTGATCGATCATTCATTCCACAACAGTAGATTCATAACAAGAATTTGTTATTATTTCATAATGATGACTTCTATTATAGAAGAAGTGATCACTTATTTCTCAGCAAAGCCTTATTTTTTCTGGAACGAACATGCGAAAACTAGGAACCGGGTGCGTATTCAGTCACCACAGTTAACGAACTGGTAGTTCACTGTGAGGTGTCCTTGGTTATATCCGTTTCCGTCTGTGTCCAACGGACGGAAGATGGTGTTGTAGTCCAGATCGAGCCCCCCGTTGCTGCACTGGTCGACGATCCTCGCAGTAATTTGCGCACTGGTCCTGGTGTTCGTGATCTGCGCACAGTGGAAGTTGAGTTAATTGTCCGATTTCTCACCTCTTTAGGAGTTGCTCGAGCCATACAGGAGGTCTTAAAAACAAAGTTACGGGGCAAAAACAAATGGACTGTTTGAAATCTATGAAGTTTTCTCTTACCCTCAAGCATTTGCCACAAGCCGCTTGCCCGTGAGGCCCGACCGGCCCGCAGAAGGCGGTCCACCCGTACTTCTGCCGCCAAGCCAGCGGCTTGTTCGCGTCCCAGGTCGAGCAATAAGCGCTCACTGCATTCAAGTCCCACCCGTTCTGCGCGGGGTTGTAGTAGTGGTACGTCGCCCTAACATTGCTAGCGCTCTGAGCATCGGCTGATGAGATGGCGAGGCAAAGCAGCAACGCCAAACAAAGGCTAAGCCTCCCCATGATTTGCAAGAAGGAGTGGCTGTTTTTGCTGTGGAAGGAGATGAGCAAGAGAGCACGGGAGATTTATAGGAGACGAGGACTGCGAAATTACGACTTGCCCTTGTGAGATAGGATGAGTGACTCGATGAATTTGCTTGCGTCTTGACTTGGGACTTGACTTGAGGGGGTAACTACGTGCGGATCCTTCTTCCTTGTTCTCCATGTTTATCTCTTTTGACAGCAACAACAGGGGGGAAAAAGGAGTCTTCATTTCTGTTTTATTTTGTGAAATGAAGAAGTAATTTAAGAGATATTAAGGTTAGCTAGCTAGTGCATGTTGCATCAATGGCAGGACTCAATCTTGATTTTAACAAGTGTAAAATTAATCGAGAGTTTTATACATCATCAGAATTATAACACGTACAAAATAGCAATTGTAGAAATGCAATCAAATTAGCAGTATAGGATGTATGACTCTTGAGTCGATTAAGACTAAAGAGTCAGAAATGGGGAGCTTACAATGAACTTTGTGGCGTCTCGGAACTCGAAAGTGGAACTTGTTAATCTGTCGGCCATTTCAGAATTTTTTCCAAGAAAGTCTAAGCTGTAAAATCACATGAACGAGTGGCTTACAATGAAAAGGACACATCACATGGCATTTTCCCAAGTGAAGGACGACGAAAATTCAAGATGAGGTCGATGGATCATATCTATGGTTGCAGAAATCCGAGGGTATTGAATAGTCAGACGTTGTAGTCAGGCAACTTTTGGATTAGCCTTGGTTTATGCCATGGAATCTTCGGATCATATACAGTAGCGTGATGTGCATGTGCTTGCAGATACATGGTAAATTCTAGGAAAATCATGAAATGGTGACTTTATCCATCTTTCGACTACTCTTTTGGAACTGATGCAGAATCTATTAGTGGTACATTTTTGGATCGATTGAACAGATAGAAGTCCAAACGGAAGGCGAAACGGTGATGCGACTAGAACCGGCGGACCCGGTTGACGATATCGGATCGGGCTCAAATTCGATCGTTTGAAGCGAAACGGCAATCTGAACACAACTTACTGCCTTTGGCTATGACTAACGATGGATTTTAGCGATTCGGGATCGTTTACATGGGTTTTTATTTTACTTTAATATTTTTTTATGGGTTTTAATTTTAGGGGCAGTTTTGTAATTTTGATATTTAATGCTTTATAGTCCTAGTAGGGTTTGGTTTAGGGATATATAAGCTTGTTTTAGGGTTTTTTTGAAAGACATAATATTATCATCAATATTGAATTTCGGGATTTTTCCCTCTAAGCAAGTTTTGCTTGAATTACTCGCTGAACGCTGCGTCAGGAACCGGCATATTGACCTCCGTATACGTCCCCATCTTGGTGTGTAAAGAGGAAGGCAGAGGAACTGAAGTTTAGCAGGAACTTGAAGCTGAGCCAATCTCAGTGATAGTTTGTCCGCTGGAGTGTTCTCATCATGGAGTGTTTAGGGGATTTGGAGATTTCATGGAAACTTAGGGTTTCTTTGTTGCTAAATTTGGAAGAGTCAAGTCGATAATCGATGTGTAGTCATCGGTCAATTAAAGAACTAATTGGATTAGACAGACAATTACAATGCCCCGTGTTATTCACCACGTAATTCGAATTACTAGCATTGTCTCGGCATCGGTGGCCTTCAATCCCTCGGGGAACTTCGATCCTGCCCTTTGCGATGACAAAGAAGGTAAGAGCTTCGGTTTGTTTTTGGCGGAGCAGATGACATGTTGTGTGTTCGAAGTATGTCCTAATCAAATTTGGGGATGAAGAAGAAAAAGAAAATGGGTCCGGTGAGGTCGGGGATGGATCTCTAAAATTTAATTACGTTAAAAATGGGTTAAAAAGGATTAAATGGATTATTTTAGATCGAACCCAATTTCGAGCTGCCCAAACCCAACCTGACCTACCTATTTGATTAAGAGACACACAAACCCTAATTGTTCACAACCCGAAAAGAAGAAACATAAGCCCAAAATGAAGAAAGTCCGGAGGCCGTAGACTTCTAACGAATTGGAAGGGAAAATTGTCCAAAAGGTCCTCAATCTATTGCACTTTTGCCAATTCAATCCTAAACCTTTTAAGTTTGCCAATTTAGTTCTAAACCTTTTCACTTCTTGCCAATTGAGTCCATCCGGCCAATTTTGGTTGACCGCCGCCGGCCAACGCTAACGTGACAATTTTTAAATATATATATTTTTCGAATTTTTTTAATTTTTTTTTGCCTACTTCCCTTTGGCCGGTCGCCGGCCGACGAGGTTGACGTCGTTGGCCTATAGCGAAGCTCGCCCCCGCCGGCCACTAGCGAGGGCGAGCCTCGCCCGCTGCTGCCAGGCCAACCTTGCCCAGATCCGACGAGGCCTACCCTGCCGTCGTTGGGCGAGGTGAAACCCAGCGATAGCGAGATCGAGCCTCGCTCAGCGACGGTGAGGTCGAGCCTCGCCCAGTGACGGGAGGCCGACCTCGCCGTTGCTGGGTTTCACCATGCCTAATGACGGCGAGGCCGGCCTCGCTTTGGTTGGGCGAGGCTTGACCTTGCCGTCGTTGGGTTTCACATCGCCCATCGACGGCAAGGCTGGCCTCGCCTTAGTTGGGCGAGGTGAACCCAGCGAGGCCGGCCTCTCCGTTGCTGGGCGAGGTCGGCCTGGCAGCGGTGGACAAGCTTCGCTAGAGGCTGGCAAGGTCGACCTCTCCGGCCCGCGCCTCTGGCTGGTCGTTGGATCGGCCAGAGGGAAGAAGGCAGAATTTTTTTTTAAAAAATTCGAAAAAAAATTTAAAAATTGCCACATCAGCATTAACAGAACGGTCGGCGTCATTCGGCGGCCACGTCAGCGCTGGCTGGCCAAAATTGGCTGAATATACTCAATTGGCAAGAAGTGAAAATGTTTAGGACTGAATTGGCAAACTTAAAAGGTTTAAAACTGAATTGACAAAAGTGGAATAGGTTTAGGACTTTTTGGACAATTTTCCCCGAATCGGAATGTGAGCCAATTGATGATGATGATGCTCTACTAAGTAGGAAGTAAATGTGGTTGGACTTTTTATACTCACTCCTTATGAAATGCTAGACATGCTCAAGAAAATGTTTGCCGAGTTGAGAAATGTTTCTTAAATGAATGAGCTCAAAAGAGATATTTCCTTGGTTAAACAATAGGAAATTTTGCAAAAGAGGAAAATTTATTTAAAAAGTCATAAACTTATCGCATTTTTGCCAATTCATTCATAAACCTTTTAATTATGCTAATTAAATCTCAAACCTTTTCACTTTTAGTCAATTGAGTAAATCCGATCAATTTTGGCCGAAAATCGTTGACATGGATGCTGACCGTTCTACGTGGCACTGCTAGTGCTGACGTGGACAAATTTCTAATAATATTTAGGATAATTTTAATAGGTTTAGGACTTTTTGGATAATTTTCTCACAAGCTAGCACTTAAACTACCATTTGTGGTGCTAAACTTCACTCCTTTGAATTAAGCATATCTTGATTGGTACCTTAAAGCACCTCGTCTCATGTATACTAATCTCATAAGATGATCGACAAGCCACAACGAGTAAATGCGATAACGATAGCTCAATACATGCATATGCATGTTACCTCAATGGGATAACTCATTTTCAATTTAATCTAATACATGACTACAACCTCAACACGTACAAAAGTAATTGTAAAATTTGCTAGGAGTTTATTTCTTTTAACTCCAAGGAATGCTCTCACCAAAAGGAAAAAAAAACTCCAAGGAATGCAACCAAATTAACACTTTAGAATGTTTGACTTTTCAGTCGATGGAGACTGAAGAGTAAAAAATGGGGCACTCGCTTTGAATTTTGTGGCGGCCCGGAACTGGACGATATGACTTCGTTAATTTGTCTATAGAAACTTCTCAAAAGAAAATCTAAGCTTTACAATCACGTGGATAGGATCGCTGAAAATTAGACTTTGTCAAATAAACGGATCGGATCCGGTCGAAAATGGTCCAATCCAAATTTGACTCATTTCATGCAATATAAATTTGGCGATCTATACAAAACCCGATCCATATTACTAAAACATTTCTATATTTAACCAAATACAAGAAAACTCATACCCAAATTAAAGTGAGAGTATTGATGAGTGAGTGCGAGATCGAATGAGAACGAGAGAGAGTGAAAAAGAGTTGTAGAGGTGAGTTGGGTCTAAGTAAGTTATGAATCCATTTAATACCCATATTATTTTCAGATTTTACCATTCTAAATCCATTTATGACTCGTTTACTGAACACGACTAACCCATAAAACAACTTAGCCTATCAAATATGGGTTGAAAAATAGGTCTATCACCCGTTCTGACAGATCTACAAAAATCAAGAAGACACATCACATGACATTTTTCAAAGTGAAAATGGGATGTTGCTTACCCAATATAATTCAGCCCCTCCTTCGATGCTTTGATCATTTGAAAAGCCAATTAGGGTTCTCCGGCCAATTAAGTCGCTGATATCATTTCATTAAACCCGAGCCCACCTACAAAATTAAGGAGCATTAAAACACAAGATCTTCCAAAGAGAAGAAGGGAGGTTAGAAACCCAGTTTAGAGGAATGGTTTTACATCTTGATGCCTTTACAACCCAGTCTACTAGTCTATTTGAGTCACGGGGGCAGACGTATCAAACTGCATGTCATCAAGTATGTCATACAATAACTTTTCTCCTATGGTTATGAAGCTGATGGCAATATTTAGCTAAAAGTAATTATTGAATATTTAGTTTTCTACCATTTGGGTCATAAGATAATGAATAATACTCATAGACATCAATTGCTCTTTTGGCTAATGATATCAATCTATGTATATCTCTGATATAGTAGCATGTAACATGAGTTTATACTTCAAAAATAAATTGCAACTGTTAGAGAATTCGTGCTTGAAATTTTGTTACGGGTTGACAAGATTGTATTAGTAATATTAATTTTCTTTACAACTTGTATATTCAATATTGTTTAGCTTACAACTGGGGTTTGGATAGTGCCATTGACTGATTCATTGATTCTC